TGTTCCCTGGAATTTTCAGTCACAGAAGACATTAATTCCCCACGCCCCCCACCTTTTTTTTTTTTTTTTTTTTTTTGCTTGAGTGAGATTGAACTGGTTTCTGTCACTTGCAACCAAAGGTTTCTGACAGCATAGCCTGCGATGCCATGGCCTTGGGCTGGCATTCCATGTTCAGTCTGACCAGCCTTCTACGGCTCAACAGAGGAAGGATGATAAGGCCATGACACTGACCACTAGTGAGCTGCCTGGAAGAGGGACAGGGCTGCCTCAGGACAGCATGGGGCCTGCATTCCAGAGCTCTGGAAAAGGGCTTCCTTGGAGAAAAAGGAGCCAGGAGAAGTGTGCATGACCTGGCTGAACCTTCTTCTCCTGTGTCCAAGAACTACTAAAATCAGCAGAAAGTAACCTGGAGCATCAGGAGAAATCAAGGCTCTCAGGATGGACCACTCCAGGCCCCAGTAAGCCCATCCTGGTTGATGCCCCTGAGAACAGTAAACTAGCAGCCACAGGGCAGCCCTGTGGGAGAATGTATCCAGCAATGCAGTTTGCATGGGGGCAACCCAGGTGTCCATCAAGGCGGGAGGCCATTAGAGAACAAGGAAGCAGAGAGACAGATACGGATAAATCTTAAAATGGGGCAAGTGAAAAAAGAAAAATAGAATAAGATCCTTAGCACAATACCATCTACCTATGCATACAAAACAGCTCTACATATTTTTAAAAGACACACACGCCCAAGGGCTGCCAAACATCAGAGTGATGCTTATCTGGGCAGGGGAAGGCGCGAATGGGAGCGGGGATTGGAGGTGAAGCAGGAAAGTCAAAACAAGGGAAGGGGCTTGTGTGATGATACCATGCCCTGAACTGAGAGGTCTGAAGAGCTCAGCCTGGTACCAGGCAGGGAGGAGGGACAGGCACCCATGCAAAGAGGATCATTGTGATCACAATCCTGGCTGCACCCTGGGATCACCCGAGGAGCCTTTAAGAAATCTGAATGCCTGGGAGCCACACCCCCCCCACCACCACCTCCCTGAGGTTCTGATCTAATTGGTCTGGCTGCAACCTGGGAAGTGGGGTTTTCAGAGCCCCCCAGGTGATCTCAACGTGCAGCCAAGGCTGAGAACCACTGAACTAAAGGGTTCTAATCCTGGCTCTGCCACTCACAAGCAAGTCACTTCCCTTCTCCAAGCCCTGGATTCTTTATCTAAAAGGGGCTAAGTTGCCCTATCTTGAGGAAAGACTGAATGTCACAAGAGGGGGCACCTGAGGGTCTGGCCACAGAGAAGCAGCGCTCCTCCCCTGCAGGAGGAATGCTGGGCTGAAAGCACAATTTCATCAGGTAAGAGAAATAGGCAAGGCCTACGAATCCCTTTTTGTTTCTGAGACTTAATTTTGGCTCAAGTTCCAGGGCAAATACAGTGCACCCCTGTCCCACCAGATGGGGAGGACACTTCCCAGATGAGGGTTGCCAGATAAAATATAGGATGCCATGTTACATTTGAATTTCAGATAAACAACAAATTCTTCTCTACCCAATATTCTGTAATAACCTATATGGGAAAAGAATCTGAAAAAGAATGGATATATGTATAAGTGAATCACTTTGCCTTACGCCTGAAACTAACACAACATTGTAAATCAACTATACTCCAATATAAAATCAAAATTAAAAAAAGAAAACAAATTCTTTTATAACGATGTCACAACTCTTGCATGGGGTATACTTGTACTAAAGAGATTATTGATCATTTTTCTGAAATTCAAATGTAACCGGGCATCCTAAACTTGACAACCTTCCCCAGATGCTGCTTTAGCTTGGTGTTGAGGGTCTATCCAGTGTGGTCTGAGAGAGGTGAGGGAGGGATGAGGGGTCCGTATTCTGAAGTTTCACAGCTGAGACCCTCTAAGGGAACTATGTTACCCCCTTGTTCCTACTGAGGAAAAGGAAGCCAGAGGAATTTGCCTGACACTAACATGAGTTGCTTTTTATTTATCCACTTGGTACTGTGGGCACCACCCTCAGAAGCCCAGTTCTTCCAGCAACTGGGAGGGAGGGACCCCCTTTATGGTGGGATTTCTTTGGTTCTCATGTTGTGCCGGCAACAGCAGAGTATCTATTACCCAGGCTCAAACCGTACAAAATCATGACTGTTTCGCTTTCTTCTTATTTTTATTATAACTTTTTTTTTTCTGATTATAAATCATTGTTGATAACTTGGGGGAAAAAAAAGAAGAAGAAAAACACCCATAACCCCTTTACCCCGATGCAATCAATGTCAACTTCCTCTTTCCCTGGGAAGGAAACATTTATTGAGCCTTGATCACATGTCAGTGACCTCTCCATTATCTCATATAACCTTTAGAAAGAAAAATAACTTTATTGCCCTTTCTGATTATAAAAGGGTTTTTACATATATATTAAAAAAGATAACTCATAGAGGTAGTAAAGAAAGAAGTGGAATTCACCTATGATCCCACCACAGAGAGACAGCATTCCTTCTAATCTCATTTCCCCATCTGCATGTAATTGTGAACATTGCCCCGAGGCACCTGTGCTAGGTGCTCCCTGTCAACCAGCTCACTGCAGGCACTTCTGGCAGATAAGGAAACTGAGGCTCATGCCTGCCACCTGCCACTGATGTTCCAGTGGGCCCTCTCCTTCCCTCCAAGGGGCGTGGGATGCTGGAGGGGCTCAATAAAGGCTTGTTAAATGAACAAATGAACGGGAGCAAGAGTCCGTGACTCCTCACAGGCTTGTTCAGTCTCATTAAGCCATCAGAGGCTGCTTCCGATTTGTATTTTTTTTTTTTTACATTTCCTGGAGGTGAAATACCAAAATCTTCCACGGAAAAGAGTGTAAGGCAACACAGTTCAAATGCCCAAGTAAGGCCGCAGCTTGGAGGGTGGGTAGCTCTTCATAATTTGGTCTGCCTAAGCCTGGATTTCAGGCATGTGCTTCAGCTCCCATGCAAATGGGCAGAGATTCTTGCTTCTTAGCTGTTATTTCTTGAGCGCCTTCTATGTGCCAGGTGCTGTGCTGCATCCCTTTCATACACCATCTCATGTTCCCCTGCCCAACAATCCCACGAGGTGGGTGCTGTCGCGAACTCAATTTACAGATGAAGAAACTGAGGCACAGAGAGGGTTCGGTCACCTGGCTAAGGCCACATAGCTGGCAAGTGGAGAGCCAGGTGTGGAGTAGAGATCCGTGTGACTCCCAACCCTCTGCTCCTAACTGCTCAGAAATTCTGCTGCCTTTCTTCTCCTGGAGAGTTGGGGAGCCTGAACGTATACATCTCCCCTCCCTGCCCAATGGTGGTGTGGGTGGTGGTAGGCAAGGAGCCCGGGGCCAGAGTTTTCCCTCAAGATGTGGGGCTGAAAGACCAGAAACAGCCCAAACATTCAGATATACAAACTGTGGTGCATCCATATCACGGAATACTACTGGACAATAAAAAAGGAACAAACTTCTGATACACCATCAACAGGGATGAATCTCAAAGACCTTGTGCTAAGATTAAGAAGCCAGACACAAAAGCATATACTGTATGATTCCATTCATGTAACATTCAAGAAGAGGCACAATAATCTATAGTGAAAAATCGGAAGAGCGGCTGCCCCAGGAGAGAGGGGGGCTGCCTCAGAAGGGGCAGGCAGGAACTTTCTTGGCTTACGGACAGGTGTATAAATCTGTCAAAACTCAAACTTTAGATCTGTGCGTTCACTGCAGGTAAATGACATATAGGGCTGTGTCCCCTGAGAAACCTGCTCTCCTTTTGCTCCCCCAGAAATGGAGGCTGGGTTGGCTCAGGTGCCACCTGTGACTTCAAGAGCTAAGGTCACAAACAGAAAGCAGGTCCATGGTTGCCAGGTGCTGGGGGGAGGGAAGGATGGGGAGTGACAGCCCAATGGGTATGGATTTCCCTTTGGAGTGATGAAAACGTCTTGGAACTAAATACAGGTGATGGTTGCCAACTGAATGCTACCGGACTGTACACTTTAAAATGGTACTTTTTTGTCATGTGACTTTTTTTTTTTTTTTGCGGTACGCGGGCCTCTCACTGTTGTGGCCTCTCCCGTTGCGGAGCACAGGCTCCGGACGCGCAGGCTCAGCGGCCATGGCTCACGGGCCCAGCCGCTCCGCGGCACGTGGGATCCTCCCGGACTGGGGCACGAACCTGCGTCCCCTGCATCCGCAGGCGGACTCTCAACCACTGCGTCACCAGGGAAACCCTGTCATGTGACTTTTACCTCAATTTTTAAAAAAGTTTAAAGAGAGAGAGAGAGAGAGAAATAAGGTCTTAAGAGCAGCAGACTTGTAGCCCCATGAGTTCTCACCACCTCCTCTGTTACAGCCAGAGCCACACTTGCCTGCCTGCTTCCCCAGTGGACCTTGAGCCCCTTAACCGTGGGCCTTGATTCGATACATATTGCCGACTGCCTGGGCATTGTAAATACTAGAAGACTAGGCCATATGTTTGACTGCTGTACCAGTAAATGGATTGTGAGTGAATGAATGAGCAAATGAATAAACACGTGTGAGTGAGTGAATATATGAATGAGTGAATGAATGAGCGAGCAAAAGAACAAATACTTGCATGAATGAGTGTGCAAGCAAGTGAACAAGGGAGTGAAGGAATGAGCACAGGAATGAATGAAAGAATGAGTGAATGAGCACGGAACTGAACGAAGGAGCAGGTGAACGAACCTGGGCCTGACCATGGACTCTGGACCACACCCGTGTGGGTTCCAATCCTGGCTTTGCAATGCAAGTCATTTAACCACTGCGTGCCTCAGTTCTCTCATCGGTAAAACGGGGGTGGTAGGTTTTCGCCAGAAAGAAATGAGTTGAAATGTGTCAACTGCTTAGAAGACGCCTGGCAAAGTGAGCCCTCGGTTTTCATGAATGTTACAGAGATACACATTCATGCGCGCGGGGACCCACTGCCTCGTCCAGGCGGCGCCGCCCTATCCCCCTGCCAGCGGGAGCCGCGACCTACCGAGGAGCTGCACCTCGTCGGTGATGCCGTAGACGTCGATGAGCGCCCAGAGAGGGCCGCTCACGGCCACACCGCAGTGGAAGAGCACGGGCTCGCCGTCGTTGACGCTGTAGAAGACACGGCCGTGGCGGTCCGCCCAGTAGGCCAGCACAGTGTCGCGCAGCGCCAGGTTCTCGGGCAGCGCCTTGGCCCAGTAACCGGGCCGCGTGACCAGGTCAGGACAGGCATACTTGGGGATGTCCTGGGCACTCATGAGCGATGGGTCGTGCGCCGTGAAGCCGAAACGCAGCGCCCCACTCCAGCCCGGGCGCACGGCCACCAGGCGCAGCCGCACCTGCTCGTATAGCCGGATGGGCCGCTGCGTGAACGTGACCCCGTTGCAGAAGCTGTTGCGCCGCGTGGCCCGGCGCGAGTGGCCGTCCAGCCGCACGTTCTTGCCCTTGGCCTGTGCATGGAAACGCGGCGCTTCGCCCAGGACCGGGCGCCGCTCCGGGCCAGGGCCGCAGCAAGGCCGGGTGGCCAGGAGGCGCGCGGGCGGGCTCGAGTCTGCGGGAAGAGACAGGCAGGAGGGTTAGGCGCCCTCGCAAACTGTTAGGCCCCTCTGAAACTGTTCAGAGCTGTTTCACTCCCAGACAGGCCAACACCGATGAGCTGGTCACAAGAGCCAGGCTGGGATCAACTGACTTCTCCATCCCCATCAAATCCCTCCACATCTAGAGGCTTCCTCCAAAAGCCGCTTGTGGGCTGCAAAGTCCCTCTAAAGGGAACAGCGGCCTTGGATTCTTGGGGAGTAGTGGGGAGTCTTTGGTTGCTTTCCTCTGTGTAATTTTTATTAAAAAGCAAGGCAATTTGGGCGCACTCTTGGGATCCCCAGTGCATCCTGGAATCTCAGCTCTCTGGCACTTCCTGGCTGTGTGATATGCAGGAGATCCTATCACTTCTCTAGCCTGTTTCCCTGCCTGTAAAATGGGGACATTGTTTAACTCACACAGCTGCTAAATGAACACGTGGATGAAGTTCCTAGAATACTGCCTGGCACAGAGCATGTGGTTAATAAGCAACTAATAACATGATCATAATACTGAGGTTCCAAAGGACACCCAAGCCAGGATTCTGACTTCCCTTCCCCTTTACCCACAGAAGAGGAAGGCATTCTTTATAAGCAAGGCTGGCTTTTCTAGAACATACACCTTTCATAATTCATTTCTATGGGAATTGTGCCCCAAAGGACCTGGAGAATCTTGGGATAGTCTCCTTTCAAAGGATCTGGACACTGGCCACAAACCCAGGTGGCCCCATCTGGAGGTGGGGGCATCATCCTTCCCACCTTTCCTCCTCCATCCCTGGTTACTTACTATGCATTTCCTCATTTAATCCTTATAATAACCGTATGAGGGAAGGACTACCATTATCCCCCTCATTCAGATGAAGACATGGTGTTTCAGAGAGGTTGATTTATTTGCCTGAAGTCACACAGCCGGCTTCACTAAAGGCAGAGCTTCAATTGAAGCCATGTTTGTGTGACCTCCGTCCTGCCTTTTTAGCCATTTTACCTTATTCTCTCTGCTGTTTAGGAATCAACACAGGATGGACAGAAGGGCTGGGCTGTAGACCCCTGACGTAGGAGAGGGATGCAGAGGCCACCTGTTGATTCCTTGTACCCCTAGGCAGGCCTGCTAGGCATTGAACTGGTGGAGGAGGGCTGCAGGCAAAATGCTCAGTCCATTATTCATCCATCCATCCATCCATCCTTCCATCCATCCATCCGTCCTTCCATCCATCCATCCATCCTTCCATCCATCCATCCATCCATCCATCCATCCATCCATCCATCCACCCACCCATCCATCCATCCATCCATCTATCCATCCATCCATCTATCCATACATCCTTCTATCTACCTATCCATCCATCCAACCATCCATCCATGCATGCATCCATCTATCCATTCATCCATCCATCTGTCCATTCATCCATCCATCTGTCCATCATCCATCCACCCATCCATCCATCTTTTCTGCAGATGCGTCTGCTGGTGTGAAGCACTGAGGGAGCACAGGTGATGATACAATCCTGCCCTTGTGGAGATCTGAGTCTCTCCGTGGAAGAGAAGACACACAGATGAATAGACATGAACATTAGGGACCGATAATAACAATAGAGACCCCATTAGGCATTGTCATTGGGGGGCTATTAGGCCCAGAGGAGACCCCAGACTCAGCCAGGGGCCGGAGGGCAGGGGGTTATGTCCACAGAGCCAGGTCTTAAGGGAGTCTACATTCCAGGCAGAGGGAACACTAGGGGCAGAGGTGGGGGAAGCTGGACTTGGAGGGGAGGGTAAGTACTACGGTAGGTGTGACAGAGGGTATCTGAGGTTGGGCAGCCACTGCTCTGCAGGGGTGAGGGGTGAGGGTGCCATCGCATCATAGGGACCAGCCAGGAAGGCCCGGAACGCCAGCCTGGGAGGCTCAGAGTGCACACCATGGGGAGAGGGAGCCACTAGGGGCCTCCAGTGGAACAGGCCGGCACTGCCTGTTAGGAAGGGCCCCTAAGGCAGAGAGGAGGGTGGACACAGAGCCAGGCTGTGGGCCATCTCCGGAACCACAAAGATAAGAGTAAGGGACCACTGGACAGCAATTCCGGCAGGACAAAAATCAGACGAGTGGGGGAAATACTGCCCGGGTGTAAACCATCCGGAGAGGCCGCCCAGGACAGCAGAGCCTGTGTTCTCCACGCACGCTGTGGCCTTGTACCAGCCACCCAACCCTGGGCGGCAGTCTCCTCCTGTGTCTAACAGGCCGGATTCTCTCCAAGGTCCCCGCCGCTGGCAACCTCTCCAGGAAACTTTAAATAGGACTAGAGATCAAAAGCACCAAAGACCACAAGCCACCGTTATTTGATTATTTTTATCTCAGCTCCCATCACTGTTGTTTTTCCAACCTTACCTCTCAATCAGAGACTTTCTTTACAAAACTGGCTTGGGGATCCTAAGCAACTGTTCCTTCAGAGTGGCCTGGCGATTTCGATGGATGCTGGGGTGTGGAGAGATACTGCTTTGTTACTACAAGGGGATGTTTCCTGCTAAACCAGCTATATGTTAGGATAAAAGGCAGCCAAGTAACCAGCGAAGTTTACATATTTGTTTAATTTTGATTATATGATCCAACTTCCTTCAGGGAATGAGGGATAAACACTACTTTTCCCTCCTCTGAGGCCAGAGTCCTGATGTGAGATAAAGAAAACCAGAGCGAAAAAGTCTCTAAGAGGATGTGTTATTTACACAAATCGAAAATGCTCAAAATGAAAGAACAAAAAGCAATCTGCAAATTGCACACCAGCGTCTGCTTTTAGCTCAGCTCAGGGAAAGCAGCTTCTACATGAAACAGAAAACTGTGGCCATGGACCCCACGGGCCTCGGAGAACATCCTAGTTCAGGGACGTCAATGGAAAACCTGAACTTTGTCATTTAAATTACAGCAATAAACACCACAGCCATATTAGAGAAAGTTTGGGAAGAAGGAGAAAATTTCGCCTCTTCTCCCCACATTCACACCTTAACTCACATTGCATTTTTCATGTTGGCCTTTATCCTGCCTGGCCCTTATCCACGGAAGAACCACTGGCTGTGCCCTCACTAGGTGCCATGTCTTGGGCCGGATGTTTCTGATACAAGGTTGCAGTTAATTCTCAATACAAATCCTCGCCCACAGGATTACTGTCTTTATTTTCCAGGAAAAAAAACTTCCTGCGGCTACAAGGAGATATGAACCCAGCTCTGTCTGACCCCAAACCAGCGCTCTTTCCTCCTGTCCTGACTTTCCTCCATAAGTAGCACAGAAGTGCTAAGCATTAAGTAGTACTGAGTACCTTTTCTAACTTCCTTGCAACCAGAGCACACATTTAATTTTGCCTCCTGCCTTTTCTTTCCTAACTCAACATTATATAAAAAGCATCTTTTCCCACATGGCTCCCAAGCATTCACTCTTCTGTTTCACCACTGCAGAATATTCCATTGAGAGCCAAAATGTCCTCTGCTGTTCCCCTCCTGGAGATGACTTCAGCTGTTCCCCCAAATGGCTGAGTCCACGGGCACAGAGGTTCCTGGCTGCTGGTGCCAGGACCAGATTTAAATGGACACCCTGTCACTGGTGAGAAGGTGTCACCTTCTGCCAGGGAGGGGCCCCCAGCCCACACCAGGGACCAGACCCTTTCCTCCCATGCAAGGCAGAGTCTCCACTGGCCTCTTGCGGGTGTGCCTCCCTCTCTCTGGCCAGGAACTCGGTCTAGAGACTCTAAGGACAAGGCAGGGGGAAGGAGTTTCTATGCGGTGGGAACCGAGGGGAGACTCTGTAGTCTCTTCCTGTGTGTAGGAAGGAGGGGACAGTCCTGGCCCACCCCTCATGGTTAACCAAAGGCTGCTGCAGCCCCTCCAAGACCAGAGGGAAGGGTCTTTCCAGCGTTTAGTCAAGGAAGCAATGCCCCACTCGAAAACGTACGAGTACAGATTTTGGGGGGTGGGTGATGAGTGGCTGTCAGTATTCAGGGAGGAGGGAGCTCTGTTCTGGCTAAACAAATGTTGCCACTGCCAGCCTTGGGCTAGTACTTCGGGAAAGCAGGGGGACATCAGAACTGCTCCGCGGGCTGCTGCTCTGTGATTTACTCACATCAGTGCTTTAGAACGGCCCTCACGGGCTCTGGGTTCGAACCCATGCTTTGCTGCTAATTTGTCTGAGGGGCCTTTGGACAAGTCACCATCTGTGAATAGTGTGTGAATGCAGAGCCTCATCTCAGGCTGCTGGGAGGAGCGATGAGAGCACAGAAAGCTCCCAGCAGGAGTCCCAGCACACGATGGATGTGCACTAAACGTTCATTCCCTCCCCTGCAGGGAACATCAGGTCCAACCCCTGGGTAAGCCCCTCACTCCATCTCTCCCACACTTTTATTTTCTAAATCTCAATGTGAGAGGCGGTTAAAAAGAGCACAGGCTTGGAGTCAGGCAGATAGGGGTTTAAATTCTGGTTTTGTTGTTTCGTAGCTGTGTGATCTTGAGGTACATGCTTAACTTCTCTGCCCCGCCCCCTAACCAGACCTAGAAAACTGGTAAGAGTCATCTCCACCCTGCACGATTCCTCTGAGGACGAATGAGGCCAGCTGGTCAGACTCGGTGTGTGGCACGTAGTAGGTGTTCACTTAACACGGGGTTCCCCCCCCACCCCCTTTAGTTACCTTATTTAATGTCTTTGCCGAGAAAAGGTTTACTCCTGGGTCGAAGATGGCTACTTGTAGGGTCAGGGGATTATATCCTGCAATGTTTCTCCCATGGAGGGTTGGTAACCTTGGCCAGGAAAGGCCTTTTGAAAACCCCAGGGTCACTTTCCCTGGGTGTCCAAGGACAGAGGCCTATTTTTAAGCCATCCCAGCAGCGTCCCAAATGTGCACTGTGCCACCCCTGAATGATGCCCGCTCATCGCCCCAACCCAGCCTTTCCTTTGATCTAAAAAGAGCCCAAGGAAATGGCATTTACTGCCAGGAGGATGGCAGGAAGC